TTTTTTTTTTTTTTAATGCAATGAATACACGATAGTTCTCGTTTCGACATTTGACAGGAAAAAAGAAAAATACATACATAAATAATGAGATATAGATATAACTATACATGTTAAATAAATAAATATACTTCCTGTCGAAAGCTGACTATGAAATTATTCGTACGCACTTTGGCGAGAAAATACAATATTACCTATCGATAGCAGTGGTTGGAAAGCTTCTGAAAAATTCCGGTCACGAGAAATAAAAAGACTAACGATGAAGGACGATGATGATTCGGCGTCGCAATAAAAAATTAATCGCAACCAGAATTATTGCAGCGAGTCACTTTTAAAAGGACATCTGTTTTCACGTGCTGTTTCGTGCCTCTCCTGTTATTTTCCTTCACATTTTTCTTCTATTCGGGCTCGAGCCGAGCATCGATATTTCAGTATTATCGTGTATTTTCTACTTTTACCAACGTCAGAAAAAAATGCTTTCGTTTCTTTTCGACTCTTGCGCAAATATATATATTATATATATATATATATTATATATATATATATATGTATATGTATATATAGTGTTCCGTTCTTAATGAAAGTATAGCGATCAATCATTATATAAAAATGTCTCGTGTTCTCTTCTTTGTGTGCAACGAGTTCAACACGCTTGAAACAATGGGATAAAAAATACATAGATCCCATTTGGCATGTGTAATTATGATGCATCTTAAAAATAATAAGCAATAACGGATAATCGGTAATATTACACTAGAGTTGTCTCTCTACGCATTTCAATCTATCTCTCGTCATTATCTTCAATACTTAACAGTTATCTCATCCATCATCTTCCTCGCATCATCCACTCTCTCTCTCACGTGGCCTATATATAGCATATATCAACATAACACACAAAGAAAAATGAACTCTAACGTTAATCTCTAATTTCGACATATATAACAATAATTAAATAACAATCATTAAACATTCATAATAACAAGCGCGAGTATCTTCTAAATATTTTTCAGCCGAGAGTTAAATAACGAAATAACGAACAAGTCGACACCCAGTGCCCCAAAGAAAGAAACGACTTAAACATATAGTATAGTATATAGATTGCACATAGATTTCATCTTATGCGTGATTTACATAA